CCATCATGGAATGGATGGATAAAATATGTTACGTCTGATCTTTTGAAAAATGGTCTTCAGCTAGATTAATGTTTAAAAGTGACGGACATATAACAAACTTACAAGAAGCACAATGAAACATTAGTTCTAATCTTACCGAAAGTTTATCATTCTTTCAGATTCTGTGTCGTCTAATCAACGTCTTAGATTGAAGTACTGAGTTAAGATTCGCTACAAATCTACTAAAAAGAAGATGAAAGATATATACTGGTGAAAATGAATTTCAGATGTACCAACATTATTGAATATTTGTTCAAGTTTTGGAAAAAAATAGGTCAAACCGAGGAGATTTTAGCAACTCATATTAAACTTTTCCATTTTCGTACGATTTAAAAATATGTTTTGTTTTCAGGATGTATTTTCCTAGACATCATTCGGTGTACAAAAACCGCTTGCATTTTTCTTATTTTCGTATTTGTTTTTCCTACTCATAGATTTTTTTAAATGTCAAACATTTTTTCTATGTTTTTATCTTTACTTATATCTTTTTTTTATTAACGTCTACTATATGTACTAATTCTGCAATCTTTGCGTATGTAACATTTGCTGTTAGACCTTTTTGAAATATTTTTTTTCCTTTTCTTCTCCATCATTTCAGCTCGAAGATAGATTTTGCAAATGCACGCACACACACACACATAGACACACACAGACACACACACACACACATATATATTTGGTCAGTTAATAAAATTTAAGGGATAGAAAAAACAACAAAACTGTCAATAAAATTCATAATACTAATTATAAGTGATATTGTTATTTATTACAAACTATATTTATTAATCATAAATAGAAAAGCTTATTACTTACGACCCTTTAAACAGAAATTTTATTTTATTTTATTTTTATGTGTGTGTGTGTGTGTGTGTGTGTGTGTGTGTGTGTGTGTGTGTGTGTGTGAGTGTGTGCAAACGTCTCAATTTTAGTAAATACGAACGCCCATGAATGACATTATCAGAAAATAGGAGCGGTAAATATACTAAATGTAAAGTCAAAGTACGTAAAATTCAATAAACTTTACATTACTTAGGATATTTCCATTACTGGGTAGTCAAAAAATAATTTAAAAACGGCGACCACTTTATATGGGTCAAGTAATATTTACATAAGCATATAAGTTCCACGAAGAAAAATTAGTTAAATTTCTCAAACATCAGGCGGTCGATACAGCTGTTAAAACCTCATAAAAACATTCACGTCCGTGTTAAACAAGCATTTCTACCATATTTTAAAATAAAATAAGTAATATGTCTTTAAAAATCAAATTGATTACACTTTAAGGTAATTTTCATCAAATAAAGTTTCAGAAATACATTTTATTTTTGAAAGATTTTTAATAAAGAAAATTAAGTTGTGTCCAGAGAATTGTAAATACGGCTAAAATCAGATATGTTTAATGTTTTAAAAAAAATCGTTCTAGTCAATTCAAATTCATTTTAAAATACAACAAAGTATTTCTCTTATTGGAAAATTAGGTTTAAATCATAAGTATCGCTTTTCTTTGGAGGGTTTTCTACAGATATTTTATTGTTATAGACCTAGCTATGGAATTATTCAATTATTAGCTTAAGAATTAAGATTCATCAGGAAATGTTTCATTAACCAACTTGTATCACATTACTTTCCCTCAAATGTACCACAATCATACATTTAGCTCATTCATCCCGACTTTTAACTCATTAGCCTTTTTGTTTCTCCTGATCACCGCTATTTGTATCATTTTAATCGTGAAATCATTCTAAATCAAATTTTAGGGATGCCAAGGAATGTAAATAACATAATCAAATTATTGGCAGGTGAACATGTTATATAAGCCTGTCTTAACAATGACAAAAACCTGTCACAAGATTCTCATTCGGATGGGTCAGATCTACAATCTGCATTCGTAGCTGTTGAGCATCTGCATTCTCATAGGCAACATTTTCAGTAATAGAGAAAGACAGTTTGTTCGTCAGACTGCCCAAAACCCGCTCGTCTCACATCATCCCGACATGTATATGAGCTCTCCAGGGAGACAACTCTGGACCATAGGAAAAGAAGAGAATTTCTGTTATTGATGCGCATGTCCGACCGCTCTCCAAATGGTTCGTCTACGGTGCCACCTTGGCTAGTCCTTACTGACTTTTCCTTCTCTTAATATGAGGCGTTAGGTTACTTCCCTTATGAGCTTCTGTTTCTTGATAAGTCTTATGAATAGAAAGACGATCGCATTCAATGGGCGGGGGCGCACTTTTTTTTTGAACCGCTGCCACTTGGAATCTTTGTTGGAAAACTTTTCTAAACTTACTATCCATTGATGGATGATCATTGCTTTTAATTGTACGGGTGGCTCTCAGGCAAGTTTGATTGGCAGTTGCTATTGAGTAAGGGTCAACGATTGAAAAGTTTGTGTGTTTAAACGCAGAGAGAACATGTGAAAGAAAAGTTAGAGAAAGTCATAATCTCGAAAGAGAAATGCAACATATTAAACAGAAATAGAATAAGTCAAATGATAAAATGAATGGAGAAAATAATTTACGACTGAAGGAATCACATAAAAAGAAATGACCGACAACATATACGAGGTGGGAATATAATTGATAGATATAAAGCAAATGTTATTGGTAAAATTGGCCATTTCCTTATAAGGAAATATCTGGCATTCTTTGGTCAAGAAAGATTTGCTACCGTGGTGTGAATATTTGCATTAAAATATCTTTTCAGAAAAACGGGCTCCTCGTGTCCTGTTACATTTACCGAACTGACAGTATTGAAGGAATTTTTACGTAACATTTATTTTCAAATTTTCGGAAGTCAACATAGTGATTATGTCATTATTTAAAGTTCGAATGAAAACTGATATGTATTTTACTTTAAACAGTTGTAGAAAGTTCTCAAGTGATTTAGTTTTTGTCATTAGTTACAGTTCTTTGTGATTGTGTAGCGTCAGTAAACTAGCTTTGAAGAAGGATGGTGATACTAGCTAAGAATTATGACATTCAGACATCGGTCAGAAAAGAGTGACATCGATCTGAAAACAGCTAACAATTTACACACACACATACATACATATATATATATATATATATATATATATATATATATATATATAGATAGATAGATAGGAAGGAAGGAAGGAAGGATTGCTCGATTGCTGCTTAGATATGTACGAATCATGTGAAATATCATTCAGGTCTTTATGGGTGATCTTGTGGGTCTCACTGCCAAATGGTCCTAAATAAAAATAGAGATTTTTTTTCAGAATTAAGTCACTGAAGGCAAATCTTCATATGATAACGGAATAAGATATTTATGCACAGGGGGAAGGAAGATAAGCTCAGTGGCTAACAGGTCTCATACCTGAGAGTAGACTGTAATATTAGCTTCGTTTTTAGAAGAAGCATTCATATTTGCTTGACAAAAATAACAATCACCTGCATAATTCTGTGTCTGTCTCCAGATCATTAGGACAGAAAAGTTGAAGGCTGCTTTCTAGCCATGAGGTCATGCAGTTAGTCCATTGTAACAGGTATACAATTAACTTGTGTGGCCCAGAGTCCTAACTGATAACCAAGTTAAAAAAAAAAAAAAAAATTATGAAAGTAAGCAGTTTTCAGGAGGGGAGTAATTTTACGCTGCTGTGCAACTGTTGCGAAATCTCCACTCACGTAATAGAATGAACATGCCTTGTATGTTCATCCTCGATAGTTTGAAGTCCCTGAATCCATACGTATTATGTCACCAATATCTGGAAAAGAAAATAAGGATGTATCATATATATGATTACGTTCATGTATACCGGGAATTGGATTTGGAGAGGATTTCATTTCGTCGCAATGAAAATTAACCCACATGGCCGAGCGTAAGCCACTAAAGTGGCCATTACATAAGTGTTTTTTTTTCAAAATATTGAACTGCGTTCAAAGTATATTTAATTGAAACCATAAAATTATGTTTAAAATATTTAGATTTTGGCATTAAATAACCCAAATATCTTGATATGCCGCTACGTCAAACAAAATCAAACAAAATCCATAATGGAACTTTTTCCCGTTCTAATGAACGTTCATCACATTTTCAACCGTTTTGTATTTAAAAGGTTAATGAACAACTTACGGTCATATGGCTTTGTATAAATTATTGTACTAATGAACAACATATAATTTTGTATTATTTGCACATCTGAAGATGATCTTTGAAGAAAATCGAAAGTACTTGGGAAATGAAAATAAAAGAAATTTAAACAGCAATAGCACATTATCCTGCAACATCAATATAAAGAAGGGTATCCGTGAGTATGAACGGATTTTGTTAAAAATCACCAGACATAATGTCTGTGATTTATTCAATCGGACATGCCTAAAAGAGAATTTGTTGCCTAAATACACAAGTTTTATCTATCTATCTATCTATCTATCTAGAGAGAGAGAGAGAGAGAGAGAGAAGGAGAAAGACAGAATAGTGTTTCAGAAAAGGCAGTACTATGTATGCTATGTATTTTCGATATCAGTTATCTGCATTATCGTTATTGTAATCTGTACGTGTTATTTAATATTTGGTCCGTAATTGGTACTCATGCGCATGTCCGTGTTTTCTGCCTGTGGGAGAAAATCTATAAAACAGAGATATGGAAGCATTAGTCATGTAAATTGTAGTCCCAAGGAGGAGCAAAAATTGATTTTCTTTTTATCTATCCTCATTCTGAATGCTTATCACGAAAAGTATTTGCGGGGGCATAAACTTCCATCTTAGCGATTTCTTGTCAAGTCAGCCATAACACATTTACTTCAACCCAACTTCAACTGCTGTCTACATATGCTTACCTCAGGTTTAATCTGCCTAAATATAAAGTGGCAAGATTGGCTTGTAGAAACACAAAAGAAGTTTAGAAATCACAAGTGATACCCTGTCTCTGATTGCACAAACAAAATGCGCCGAACTGTTTGGACGTAACTATGTATGCAGGTTTATGGACACATCACGTTGAAACACCGGTTCCTGTACGATCTCCGAGGTTAAGCAACTAGGTCAGTACCTAGATGGGTGACCTCTTGGGAAAACCAAATGTTGTAAATTTGAACGTGCGGTTGGTGTAAAGTGTAATGGCACGGAATTGTTAATCGGAGAGCCGAGTTCCAATTCCTGTTGAGATCGCTATATTTACTTATGCACAAATAACACTGGGAAAGTTATGAATCAACTCTTCTGCACCCACCAGCTGTGGGTTAATTAGTAAACCATATATCATTAAATCATTACTATAGAAAAAAAATTCAATCTATTTTTTTTTCATTAAATAACTTGCAAAGGGTTGATGTGTCTTACAAAATGAATGAATGAATCTAAAAATCCTATTTGATATTTAATGATTAATCTATTTCCCAAAATTGTACTGCATCATTCAAAAAATATTAAATTATGCTGACTAACTCCGTTATTATGTCTCAATTTGATTTTAGTTAATTCCTGATGAAAGAGATCAATGTTAAATGTATCAACATCCCGAACAACTTTTTCCCCCAAGTCGTCTAACATTAAAGGTCTCAATGTTAACGGTTTTTTTTTATTCCCCACTCCATTTATATAATTATAGTAACAAAAATATTAATTTAGACCGATGAATTTGTAAACAACGAATTGCGACACACAAGATATTTTCCAATTTTACATTAGTTTTACTATCTATCTATCTGTCTGTCTATCTATCTATATATATATATATATATATATATATATATATATATATATATATATTTATCTTTAGGCAAAGGCAGTGTGTGTGTGTGTGTGTGTGTGTGACGAATGCACGGCCGCAATTTTCGACGGATTAATGCTGGGCTATGCTGCTAGTTTTATATATATATATGTGTGTGTGTGTGTGTGTGTGTGTGTGTGTGTGTTATCTGTCTGACTGAACGTTTGCCTGTGTTTGTATGTGTGTGTGCTTGTATGTATTACACACCGGAAAAACAGAGAGGGAAACTATGTTTGGAAAAAAAAGAAAGATATCAACAGCAGATATAATTATTATGATAATGCGACATCCGATACAAAATAGTATATTATCTAAAGCAATATGTTTTGTTGGGTGTTGCTACTGGAACTATTGTGTGGTATGTTACGTATCTCATACTTTACATGAACTTGTTTTACGAAAGAGAATTATACTGTGATCTCTATAGAGTCCATGTCCTTAATGTCGAAATATAGACTGACTAAGAATGGAAGTGATACATTTTTTAAAGATCACGAATTTAAATAATGGTTATTACAAACCATATACCAAAGATCTATATAACCATAGATCAGTAGGGAAAGCTTTATCCTAGGTCATACGCTGTTTCTTTTTTTCATCAATGATCTTCCTGATGTCATCAATTCCCAAGTAGGCATTTATGTTGATGATATTACCATTAAGACTACTGTCTCTATAGAAACTCGGTCAGAGCTGACAAAGTTAACCTAGTCCCTGCGCTTGAAAAGGACCTCCAGTCTGTGGCTTACTGGAAAAGGAAATGGCTTGTAAATTTGAATGCCTTCAAAACGAAACTGCTCGCATTTAACCACTAGAGAGAAACTTTCCTGCCCACCATGAGCGTGGATGATGCTAGACTCATGGAAAGCAGAACACTACGCCTTCTTCGTCTCACGATTTTGCAACATCAACATTGAATCAATATCTGCATCTACTGCAAGGGAATTTGAGTCACTATGTCTTGCCAGAAATTTGTTCTGGTCAGAGTCCGTCTTAGACATATACAAATCTATCATTCTTCCGAGATTTGAATATTGTTGCCATATTTGGTATGGTGCTCCTGCTAATCAGCTTGACAAAATTAAAAGAAGGATCTGCAATGCAATCGATCCTGACATGACAGCTTGATTTCAGTCTCTTTCTCACCGACGTAATGTGCCTTTTCTACAAATATTTTCATGGCAACTGCTCTGAAGAACTTTTTACCATGGTGCCCAGACTGCGTGAGTATAAGTGAACTATTAGATTGGAATCCAGGTTCCACTGTTTTGTTGTTGAATTTGTTAAATGTAACCTTCAAAAATTCCAATGCAACATCAATCGCCATCTTCTATCTTCTTGAACCCTGTTCATCTTTTATCCTTTTCTCGGTCACACACTCTACATCCAGTCTTTTCTGTTACATTCAATCTCTGTAACTCCCTGCGTATCAATGGCATTCCGGCCTTGCTGGGAGTAAAATGATTTAAGAAAATTAATAAAACCACCACAAAAGACTATATAAATTACATAAAACAGTCCAAGTTAGATTATCTAGCAACTCCAGAAATACGGAAATATTTGATTATAATAAAATTAAATATATAAAAGCTTTAGAACTAAACGATCATAAAGTAAATTTAGAGTATACAGAAAAAAAGTATCTAAAAATAAATAAAATCACCATAAGTCTAACATCATATAGTTTAATCCACATTTTAATCGTAATGTTCACTCTAATAACTGCTTTAATAACACAGATAAATTTATGTCTCAGCAGAACAATCTTATATTAAACAAATATATTTCCAAGAAAGACAATGTTATTTTTTTTATTAAATAAATGCAACTGCCCAAAAAATATGTTCTGTACCTTAAATAGTCAATTCATAACTGAGAATACTTTATACCAAGCTAGCATACATTTCGGTAAAATTTTAAATTTTATTTTGGTTCCACTGAAAATACTTGAAAATTTCGTTTTGATCATCATCGAATGATTACAAAATATAAATTACAAACATAGACCTGTTCCCTCTCAATATTTCTGGCAATTAAAAAAAAAGGTGGTAATACACCTTTCATCACCTGGAATATTATAGCAAGAGCCAAAACTGATAACGGGACAGGAAAAAGATGTAACTTATGTCTTTTTAAAAAGTTGGTTATCTTAAAACACTTAAATAACCATTGCTTAAACAAGAGAAAGAATTGATCGTTACATGTAGGCATAAAAATAAATATCTCCTTAAATACGTTGATCCAGATTAATTTTTAATGTAAAGTACGTTTTTTTTAAAAGAAACAATTAATCTGCATTTATACTTAATATAAAAAAATTAAGATTCACAAGTCTAAAATATTGGTATATATATATATATATATATATACGCATCCCGTTTATTTTAAATGCCAATTTTAAATTTTAAAATTAGAAAATCTGGAATACCAGTATAATATATATCTGCGCCAACATTACGATAAACAAATAATGTTCCAAAATTAAATTACATAACGGTCAGTCTACATTTTAAGAGGCAGGATGTGTTTGTGTGTGTGTGTCTGTGTGTGTGTGTGTGTGTAACGAATGCACGGCCGCAATTTTCGTTGGATTTGCACCAAAATTTACATGCACATGCTCCAAGTTAGCGAGAAAGTCCAAGACCGATTTTGCATATCCCAACTCCCATCGATAGTCGAAATAATCGATTTTTCATGCTTCTACGGCAGTTTTCATGTAGTTTGTGGCCATTTTCTACTGGCCAGAGTGAGAGCCTATAGATGGCTGCCACGAATAGGCAGGAAGATTCTATTGGCCAGTGTCAGTGCCAACAGCTAACTGAGACGAATGTTAACTAACATGCTAGCATGCAAAAAAATCGATAGCTGCATTTGTCACAATTGGGAAAAATTTAAATCTGCATGGCACTTTACTCCAATTGGCCCATTCGCTTGATTAAACTCAACATTGATTCTGATTCCGCAGAACTGGGTTGGGTGTAAAAAAGTATTTTGTTGTTAACATTGTTTTTTCATTCGGTTTTTCCAGTTACGAGTCCTTTTTAAAGCTGATCGTTTTTGTTAATTTTCTTTAGTTCTTTTTTCGTATCAGATTTAATGTTTAGTATAGAGCTTAGAAAAAATTCGCAGTGTGAGATAAGCAAGAAGTAGGGCATGTAGCAACATCAGCACGGCAAAGGGCACTTCTTTAAAGGCAAGGAAGGGCAAAAATATTTTAAGTCAAGTGATAGCGATTGCTGTATGAGTCGTACGATTTTTGAATCAAGCACGGGCAACGCCGGGCCATGCATCTAGTATATATATATATATATATATATATATAATAGAGAAATAATTTTTCTCTATATTTATTAATCTGATATATTTCTATCACTATAAAAGTTAATTTTTTATTGGATACTCATATTTGAGTAGACACACCGTTTATTTATTAAACAGTATATTCATTTTTTTTTCAACCGGTCTGAATATCCAAAAATTCTAATTTAAAAACAAAAATTACTTTCCAGCAGGATTCGGATCTGTTTTTTTTTTTTTGACGAGCAGGATTTCCTTTAAAGGAACTTTTCAGACTTTGCTTGACCGGCACAACTTCTTCGTGACCAAACAAGTTAAGACACGTTGGACCTAACGACAGGGTCCCTCTACCGGAGAGCGTATATTTTTCTCTCATATTCAGACCGGTAGTGTTTAATAAATAAACGTAATGTCTAAACAAATATGAGTATTCAATAAAAATAATGTTCAAAGTGATAACTATCTGCCGGATTAATAAATTAAAAATTCGTCAATTCTTCAGAAAATTACTGATATGACAATTCCGATAGATCTATAACGAGAAAGATATCGCTTCAAGGAACTGTTCAGACCTCGCTTGATCGGCAAAACTTCTTCGATTAACGACGGTTTCCCTATGCCCAATTAAACGCAGGTTCGAATCGACATTCTCTGTAGCCGAGAGGTCAAATTACGTCCGATCTAATGACGGTTTGGCTTTATGAACGCAAGTTCGAATCCTGCCGAAGAGAGCATATTTTTTCTCTAATAAGATTTCTCGAATATTCAGGACGCTAGGCGAAAATAAATAAATATACAAATATGAGTATCCAGCAAATATAACGGTTAAATTGATAATTACACACACACACATATATATATATATATATATATATATATATATATATATATATATATGGGTAAGGATTAACGTCCTCTAAAAGCCCGCATTTACGAACACAAGAGAGATTTACATTCTAATTCTCTCTTATATAACCCAAAAGATATTTCCTCCTGAATCCTCATTTTCTTCTCTGCTCTTAGTCACACAATATCTACCCTTCAATATTCGACCACAGAATTTTTCCTGTCACCTTTCTCATTCTCTCTTTCTCTCTCTCTCTCTTGCATATATGCGCGCACGCACGCACACACACACACACATGCACACGTGCACAGAGAATAACTCTTCGAGAAACAAAAGCCGAAGACCCCATCCTCTCACTGCTGTATTTTATTCCGCATCTCAACTCGGCGTCACGTTTGTTTCAAGAACGCTTCCTGCCACCAGCGAGAATGGATCGCCTACGAAGCAGGCCAGAAAGATTGGTTGCCAACACCAGTCGCTGACAAGGGAACTCAATTTCCGTTCTCCTACATTTGCCGGTGGGATACAGAAACATGTGCGAGAGCGGAATAGGACGGGGCTTAACCGATGGAGTCAAGGAATGGAGACGGGTGTTGCCGTTGGACAGAATACAGAGATAGCTGAATGCGAAAGACGACTGGGAATTCGTTAATTAACACCAACCACTAACCAACGCTCCCCCAACCCTAACACTACTTTCAAACCTGATCGCCACTCAGGCATACCTTTAAATTTGTGCTTGAAGGGCAGCGGGTGGGAGAGAATAATACTTTCTCGTGATGTGTTAGTTAGGACATGCTAGAAACTGAAAAGAATTTACTTATTTAAAAACTGGCTAAAAGACTGCTAATCACCATTCTTCATTACTGAAATCTATCTATACAGATGTCCTGCATATTCTCATGGCCGAAACGAAAATTTGTTTTAATGAATGAATTCGTTTTTGAAACTTAATTAAGAACAAGTTTTATTTCAATATAAATTCGTGTAATCGTAAGACAACAGTCGGCTGAATTGTTGCAAAACCTTCTATAACAATGTAATCAACTGACCCATAGTTTTTATTTATTTAGAAATATGTTATCATTTTTTATTAGATAACACATTGTCAATTTTTATTAAATTTTTCATTAGAATTTTGTCTTGATTTCCATTGCATTTCATGACAAATAACAAGCAATTTATATGAATAACCGCAAGAAAAGTTGCTATAAACATGAACGAAAAAGAAACAATACTATTCAAAAATTAATAATGATTTAAACCGACATTATTTTGCTCTAAATAAATACGATTATAAGTAACAGTTATTCAAATTAACAATAATTTTAGTTGTAATATAATTATAACCATTTTTTGTTTTGGCAGTGTGCATGTTTAATGAGTGGGTTTCCGACATCTAACCATAATCTGTCTTGTAGCGTAGTTTCTAGATTCAAATAACCCTTTAAAGATGAAGGAAAAGATAAAAGTGAAATGATTTATGAACACTGAAAAGAAAGCTTTTTTGTGATATTAATGAAGACCAGCAAAAAGAATGTTATATAAATTGATAACTGATGACTGCGTAGTTATATTTTTATTTCTCTTGGTTAAAGGCAAATTTCCTAATTCAAAGATAATTGTATATGGGTATCATTCTTTCTCTCCCCCTCTCTCTCTATCTCTTTCTTTCTATCTCTCTTTCTTTCTTTCTCTCTTTCTTTCTTTCTCTCTCTCTTTCTTTCTTTCTCTCTTTCTTTCTTCCTTTCATTCTTTTGTCCTTCCGTTCTTTCTTTCTTTCTTCCTACATATATCTGTCCTTCCGTTCTTTCTTTTTTACATATATCTGCCCCTTCTCTCGCTCTTTCTCCCTCTCTATATATATGTATATAAACACACACATAATTATATATATATATATATATATATATATATATATATATATATATATTATTAATAATAATAATGTTATTATTTTATGACATATTAGAAGAAAAAAGATGTTGAGTTGGATGCTATCCCAGTGTTTTTCCGTCCCGTGATACTGATTTTTTAAACAAGGATTCATATTAGGTTGATTTTAATTCCACCATATAATTGTGCCACGGTAAGACCATACCATTCCTGATAATAACTGGAACGATCAAAAGTATTTGAACCAAAAAACTAGATAAACATTCATTTCGGGCAAAAATATTTTAATATTTACAAGAAAATATTATAATATTAAATAAATTAATTATTTTTTAATTTATTAATATTTAGAATTTATTAATATTTAATTAATGAATTTATAATTTATAAATTTTATATTTTTATGTTAAACATTTATATTTTATGTTATAAAATTATAATTTATTAATGTTTAATTTCTTATTTATAATTTATTAATATTTGCAACTTATTAAGTTAAAATTTAATTAATTTATATTTAATAAATTTTATTTTAATATTTACAATTTAACATTCCAATTTAAATGATTCCGTTCCCATGAAAATTTGCAAAATATATGGAAACATAAAATACAGTCCTTTTCGGTTGCATGTAACAAAGCCTGTTTAAATCTATACTCTCTGTGTAATTATCCCCTAATACATATATATATATATATATATATATATATATATATATATATATATATATATATATATATATATATATATATATACACACATATATGTGTGCGCGTGTCTGTGTGAATGTAAGTATATTTTTGTGCTTATATACATACATATATATATATATATATATATATATATGAGACATTTTTTACTTTCTTTGATTTTTTCACTTTCTTTGATGTCACAGACATGTTTCTCCATTGAAAATTATAAATTGGAATTCAAATATAATTTTTATCATAACCATATATTTTGTGATAATTTTTTCATTAAGTATTACTATATAATAATTACTTTGCATTTCTTCAAAATGCACTTCGATATACAATCTATGTAATATTAATTGGGATTACGTCATTTTTGTAGTCTTAACATCTGCTACTATACGTTAGCAATCTTCGTATACATGCTTGTCAAATTAGAATAGACAATGAAAGCTGCGTAATATATCTCGAACTAATACCGAAGTATTATCAAGCCTATTTTACTACGTGTTTTCAAATTACCTACTATTCTCTTCGTGATTTGAGAGTAAAGGAAAATCACTTTCAAATAAAAGTACTTTAGTAAGCACGTTTGCATTTTAACCTAAATGACACGAAAAAATATAGCTCTTCTGAGCGATGAGCGAGCTCATCTATTAGTGAAGAGTGATGTTCATGGAAGAACTTTCTTGCAATGGTCGTACGTGAGATGTTCACATACAGAACATTATTCTTTTTAATGACTGGAAAAAAGAAACCGATTGATTTCCATGTTTAGCCAAAGTTTTCGTTTAGTACGTTTATCGACATTACGCGTGTTTTTTTTTTTTGTTTCACACACCTTCGAGCGATGGTTTCTTCGTGCGAGTGTCTCTAGTTTTAAAGAGAAATGGAATGAATAAATAAAATAAAAATCACAAACAAATGGCTGATAATGGGAAACGCTATATTTAATAAAAGAAAAAAATGCGAAAAGGGTCTTTTTGTTAATTTCCGTAACATTTTTCTGATTGAAGAAATCAAATTCGATAAAAATTTAATCATGCATGGATTTATTTTCTTGTCTGGTTTTGTTACATTTTAATGTGTTAACATCTTTTTGTACTTTTGTATCCGTATATTTTCTTCAAATATTTAATGATTTCAGATTTCTGCATATAAATGCATTTATTTATTGATTCCTACGACTATTTAAGATGAGATAATGAAAGTAAAATGTTACAAAATAATTATATATTATTGTTTCAAAAAGTTTCCTGAATAAGACCTGGCAGGTCGTATTACTTTTTCAAAATCATGTAGGTGATTTTTCCATTGAAAATCCATTAGCTCCCGATGATTTCCAGGGTTTTTAAAGTTTATCATAAGATAGGTCACTACAAATGATTATTAATTTGAAGAAATACTTAACCACTATTGTGCTACCCAAACCTATTTTCGACTTAATATAAACTAGTAGTATGATAAAGCTTCAACTATTTTGAGTATAGAAGATCTGCCTTCACTCATGTAAAAAAAAAATCATATAGAAACTTTGCTCAAATATTTCACCCAGCGTATAGATTGCAGAGTCGTCCCAACAAAACGTTACAAAATGTCGCGTAATAATTAAACACGTGTAGATAATATAATGCCTACTGGCATATTGACTTAGTAAGATGGATAGTAATTAATGGTAATGGGATTCGCATTTACAACCAAAACGCATTCAGTTGAAGAGATTTCTTATCTTATTTAATGTGCCGACTCTACACAATATTTATCACCTCATTATTCCTCCAATCCCTGATGTGCCATTCATTAAGTAGGTTCCTCGATATTGCCCTCTGTTTATTTTGCCTTTCATGATGTCCTGTTCGTATCAAATTCACTATGTCCTGTTCGTATCAAATTCACTATGTCCTGTCCGTGTTAAATTCTATATGTCCCGTTTGTGTCAAATTCACTACGTACTGTCCGTGTCAAATTCCATACGTCCTGTTTGTCTTAAATTCACTATGTCCTGTTTGTGTTAAATTGACTACGTACTGTCCGTGTCAAATTCCATATGAACTGTTTGTGTTAAATTCACTATGTCCTGTTTGTGTCAAATTGAATACGTACTGTCCGTGTCAAATTCCATATGGCCTGTTTGTGTTAAATTCACTATGTCCTGTTTGTGCCAAATTCACTACGTACCGTTCGTGTTAAATTCACTATGTCCTGTTCATGACAAATTTACTATGTCCGGTTCGTAATAAATTACATATGTCCTGTTCGTGTCAAATTCACTGTCCTGTTTGTGTCAAATTCACTACGTACTGTTCGTGTCAAATTCAATATGTCCTATTCGTATCAACTTCACTATGTCCTGTTCGTCTTAAATTCACTATTTCTTCTCCGTGTTAAATTCCATATGTCCTTTCCGTGTCAAACTCACTATGTCCTTTTCGTGTCAAATTCACTGTGTCCTGTTCGTCTTAAATTCATTATGTCTTCTTCGTGTCGAATTCCTCTGACGCAAATATTACAACTATCTCTTTCTGATTCTTGGTACAAGTTTCTTTTTTTTTCCATTTTCCTTAAAACCTCCGGCTTTTTGAGAATTACTTTAATCCTCATCAGCTTCCCATATCTGCATATCATTGAGTGCTATATTTATGTTTTTTTTTTTTGTTTTTTTTTGTATTTTTATTTTGATCTTCAATTGATCAAGATAAATTATATGGAGATGTAATTTGATTCAACTTATGTTCTTTTATTTGCAGTTTTAACAGATCAGACATTCACGGCAAGGGCACTTCGACATGGTTAAAGGTTTATCAAGCTTGTCTCGCAAGATCACTTTCGACTGTGCAGTGAGTTCGATTCTCCCTAAGTTTTCTATAGTTTCCTCCTTGTGCCATATCTAAGCTACGCTAAGTAAATTGCGATAAATTCACAGTAAAACAGATAAAGCAGAGACTTGAATACTTCACCGACCAACAACAAAAATCAACATGAATGTTTAAATGATGTTATAAATATATTGGCATTTTTTCATAATTTTTCAGTCAACTTCCATAGTTCTTTCTTTTTTTTAAAATTCTTAGTGATACACTTCAATTTTCTTTAATATCCAAGATAACTGTCCATTACTTGATGTCAGGCTTGGCAATGTTTCTTTTTGCCTCCAGGAAAAAGGCTTTGATGATAGACTTGTTTCTTTTCTGGTGTGTTTTGTTTTAGTTTTTGCTACTATCAAACTTGTTGTGTTGTAAAATTAAGTTCCACTGTGGTTTCGTACTCAAAAGCCAGACAAATATTTATTTTTAATTTTTTTCAATGTTTTGTGTGTAAGTCCTTTGTTTAGGCTTCAATTCTGTTTCATTTTCCCATTCAAAGGAGTAAACAATTGGAAAAAAGAACGTAAGCAGATGTGAATCTCAGCTTCATTTTAGAAAGGTCGTGGGGTGTCACAATTAAAACAAAAAGGACAATGTTTATAGCACTCTTTGACTTGCACGCAGTTTCATTCATAATGCGTTAGAAGACATTCTACTGATTATATGTCTGTCATAGAACATACATTGCACGAATTTAATTTGCTTGCTTTTTTTTTAAAGTCTTAAATACGGAAGTCCTATGAAGGAAATCAGACGTAGGAGAAAAAATATGATTGAATTCTCCGGTGACTTCAGAAGTTACAATAAATTTTCCGTGAGAATTTTTCCTAAAAAAGTATTACAAACGTACAGCGAAATATATAGTTGATTTGAAAGTAGAAAGATTTCCCAGTGAAACGTAAAAGTGGATTGTTTTATCAAAATGCAAAATGTTTTCTAATTTATATTTAGAAAGTGACAAGTTAAATATTCATGTTTAAACGAGAAGCTTCCTGTATACAATTGTTGACTAACGTCAAAATATTTCTGATTTTAATCATATGAATTACAAATAGTTTTATTTAGTGACTGAAATTTGCTTAGGAAAAAAAAGAAATAAAATGTAAAAGCTTTACATAGCAATTAAATTAAATGCTAAATCATATACTTGTAGTATTCTACAAGGGGTGTTTGTAAACACTATAGTTTTAATGTTGCCCACATTTCAATCGGAAGTTAAAATGCCAACAAGAGTACTGAACTATTATGTAATATCGGTCCTACTATGCATGGTGGACAATCTCAACACATATGAAAAAGAGACTGGAAGCAACAGAAATGTGGTTCTACAGAAGGACGCAAAGAAT